ATGGATAATGATAATGTTTTTTAGATTAATTATTAAGCAAGTTTTGTGCGCTTGTGGTACCGTGTTCAAGTTGATATACTAATGATATTCATTACAAAAAGTTCAATTTTACTTAAGTCGTAAAAACGTATACTAGTGGGATTTGAAACCAGTTGAATTAACCAGTCCACAGCATAAAAAATGGGAAACGATTTACGCTCCTTTGAATATAAACAGAATAATACGTAAAGAATTGAGTTTTCAGTTTTGAGCTAATATGCTTGATTTAAGTCTAAAGTTTTGAAGTGAAGTTTATTACATTTTACGAATAGGAGTTGCTACCAATTTCACATGAGAGATTTAACATTTACATTCACTACTCTCAAAAAGGTACAAATGTCAAGGAGGACTAAACTCAAGCCTTGAGGAAATGGTATTTGGATTCAACGTAACTCTCTGAATCCCATAAGAAAGACCCAAAAGCCACAGCTTCCAAAACCAACATCGCAAGTCCAGAGAGACTCAGAGACAGAACCTCGTCGTTAGAAGTATCGAGCTTTCCATCCTCGAGTATCCTTATATCCGGTCGCCCAAAGAGCGCCTGAGTCTGCTTCTCAATCAGAGTCATGGCTTCTTTAGAACGTATCGTGGCATATCTCTGAAGCGTATCCGAGTCCAAATACGTAACATATGATCTCAATCCATAAGACGATGACTCATCTTCATTTCTTTGTATCGCGTATTCATCGGGATCATATTCCTCTGGTTGAATCCTGATCAAGGAATCCGGGTCCCATAACGGGTAAGGAGGCGAAGGTTCTTCGAACCGTTCTCTGGTTTTCTCAGGGCGTTTCGGAAGTGTGTTCATGGTTCTCTCAAGTTGGTATCTTTGGTCTACTCTTCTAAGGAAATAGCCATACATAGCAGAAGCAGCATAGAGTTTTCCTAGCTTGATTTTGCCTATCTGAACTATAGAGCTTAACGGACCAACTGCTGGTCCGTCTCCAAGAACTGAAGACAAGTGACTCTGTATCATCTCGAACGCATCCGCAGAGTGAATGACTTCGAGCTTCTCTTCTTGATTCGGCCATAAGTCTATCCGTCCTGCTGGGTCTGAAGTTGGTTTAATCCGAGGAATCATAGAGATTCCTTTTTCCACAAATCTGTGTACCACTAAACAGTAAATGATCTCTGCTAAAGTTTTACGTCTTTCCTTATCTCTAACTTCAGATATCCTCCTGCAAATCAACCACACAACAACATCTTCAAGTAGACCTCGACCAATACAGTATCTAAGGCTAAGGCTATGTACTAAAGCATAGCAAGAT